GCACCGCACTTACTCCGAAGCTATTGTAGGCGGTGCTGTTGCCATACCAGGTGTGAGCAACCAGTGAGGATGCTCTTAATGGCACAGCGGTAGAAGGTCCTGAGGATGCGGGGGCTCATGCCAAATCTTTTCAGTCTCCTGATAAAGAAGAGGCACTGCTGCTCCTTCTTCACCGTTTTGTTTATGTGTACTGACCATGTGAGATCCTCTGCCAGGTGTACACCTAGGAAACGGAATCTGCTCACTCTCTCCCACAGCAGCCTGTTGATGGTGATGGGTGTACTTCTCTGCACCTCCGGAAGTCCACTATCAACTCCTTTGTCTTTGCGACGTTGAGGGTGAGATGGTTGTCTTGACACCAGTGGGTCAGGGCGCTGACCTCCTCCCTGTAAGCCGTCTCATCACCGTTGGTGATAAGACCCACCACTGTAGTGTCGTCCGCAAACTTCACAATGATGTTGGAGTTGTTAGTGGCTGTGCAGTCGTAGGTGTAGAGTGAGTACAGGAGAGGGCTCAGTACACACCCCTGTGGAGCACCAGTGTTCAGTGTGATGGGGGATGAGGTGATGCTGCCCAGTCTGACCACTTGGCGTCTGTCAGACAGGAAGCTAAGGATCCAGCTGCAGAGGGAGCTGCTCAGTCCTAGATCCTGCAGTTTCCTGTCCAGCTTCGAGGGAACGATGGTATTGAATGCTGAGCTGTAATCTACAAACAGCATTCTCACATACGTGTCTCTCTTCTCCAGGTGTGACAGGGCAGTGTGTAGTGTCAGGGCTATGGCATCATCAGTGGACCTGTTGTGGCGGTATGCGAACTGTAGAGGGTCCAGTGAGTCGGGTAGTGCAGAGCAGATGAAGTCCCTGACCAGCTTCTCGAAGCATTTGCTCACGATGGGGGTCAGGGCTACAGGTCGCCAGTCGTTCAATGAGGAGATGGTATTAGATTAGATTAGATAGAACTTTATTAATCCCTCGGGTGGGTTCCTCTGGGAAATTCGATTTCCAAAAAAGCACAGCACCGACAGAAGTTACAGAGTTACAGAATATTATATATATACACACACACACACACACACACACACACACACACACACACACACACATATATATAAATACAGAGACAATATAAATAAAATATAGGAAGGGGAGAAATAAAATAAATAGGAATAAAAAATAAAAATACAAGTGAATTGCACATTTGTATTTTTATTTTTTATTCCTATTTATTCTATTTATTCTATAGATGGTAGGATTTGGGTACAGGGACGATGGTGGCCATTTTGAAGCAGGCTGGGACTACAGACAGAGAGAGGGAAAGGTTGAAGATGTGCGTGAACACTCCAGCCAGCTGAGCCGCGCATGACTTGAGGACGCGGCCGGGAATCCCGTCCGGACCAGTAGCTTTGCGTGCGTTCACCTTCCTGAAGCACTTCCGCACATCCTCCTCAGACACAGTGTGCGCACTGATGTCATCCGTGGTGCGCATACTGGATACTCTGACACATGCTTGGCCATACCAGGCCAGTAGAATCTATGCCTGGCCAGATAAAGTGTTCTTTGTTGTCCCTGGTGACCGGCTTCATCATGGACGCCTTTCAGTACAGCGAGCCGCAAGGTTGGCGGAACAACATACAGATAAGTCTTTGTCTTTGAGACGGGATTCTTGGAGACTCGATACAGCACACCATCCCTCACAGTTAACTTGTCCCAAGCCCTTAGAAATCTCTTCGTATCAACCGGTTCACTTGCCCGCTCCCTCCTCGAGGGTCTCCGTCCCCTTTCCACATAGGAGATCACTCTGCACAGCACATCATCACGCCGCTGGTGTCCCACTAGGTCATCACGCGAGAAGGGTTCAGAGTCAGACTGGTTTGGCGTAAGCACAGTCTGAGAGCATTGGGGCAGAAGGAGAGCATGTGGCCACACCCTGGACTCATGTTCACTATGGGCCTGGAAGACAGCTCCCACCTCAGAAGATGTCAGCATTCCTGTCTGTGCAACAGCCGTGCACTGCGAAACAACAGGCTGGTCATTGCTTGAGGCCTTATCAGCTGAGTGAACAGTCCATCTGAAGGCCTCCTGAACCCCACCAGTGGCGACTGCCTCTGCTTCTGCCAGAAGTTCCTTATATGGAACTCTTATCAAACGGTGTGAGGCCCTGGGGTGCACGAAGGGCTCCCTGCTCAGCGCGTCAGCAACCACATTTTTAGGACCAGGAATGTACTTTATGTCAAACTGGAAAGGCGCTAGCTTTGCGATCCACCTCTGCTCACATGCATCCAGTCTTGGCTTAGAAAGTATGTAAGTGAGAGGGTTATTATCCGTCCATACGGTAAACTGATGACCCCTCAACCAGTGATGGAACTTGTCGCACACCGCCCACTTCAATGCAAAGAACTCCAGCCTATGCGCTGGGTACTTGGACTGTGCATGATTGAGTGTCTTACTGGCAAAGGCGATCGGTCTTGATGTAGAAGCCCCAGAAGGAACTTGCGACAACACGGCACCAAGGCCACTGCTGGAGGCATCAACAGAGAGCAAAAAGGGCTCCTCAAAATTAGGATGGGCCAGGAGCACTCGATCCAACAAGGCCTGCTTCAGCTCATTGAAAGCTGCCCTGCATTCATCCGTCCAGTCCTCCTCACACAGCTTTGTACGCACCAGCCGGTGCTTTCGCCGTGAACCACGAGGGCCTTTATCCCCAGATGTCAGCCGAAACAGAGGTTTTGCGATGGATGAGCAGTTCTCAATAAATTGTTGGTAGAACATTACCATCCCCAAAAATGAGCGGACCTTCTGTTGGGATGGGACACTCGAACCCTCTTCCATAAGGTCTGCCTCTGCAAGGGATGTAATGGATGCTATTTTGTCAGGGTCTGACTGTATCCCATCAGCATTTACAATGTGCCCCAGGAATTTCACAGACTGTCTCAGAAAATGGCACTTCTTTGGAGCCAACTTAAGGTTGTGAACCTGGAGTCTCTGGAACACCATATGCAAGCGCTCCAGTGCCAATTCTTCTGTCGGGGCAAAAACCAGAACATCGTCAAGATAACACAGCACACTGAGGAAGTTCTGATCCCCAAAAATGCCTAGCATCATCCTCATGAAGGTGGCCGGACTGTTGCACAGTCCTTGTGGCATACGATTATATTCGTACAACCCAAATGGAGACGTAAATGCCGTGTACTTACGGTCCTCCTCATGCACCTCCACATTATAATAACCCGAAGTCAAGTCCATTGTGGAGAACAATCCGTTCCCTCCCAAAGCAGCCAGTGCGTCAGCCGGATGTGGGAGTGGGTGAGCATCTTTGACAGTTCTAGCATTAAGCCAGCGAAAGTCGTTACAGATTCTCAACTCACCGGATTTCTTCCAAACTAAGACCAGGGGTGATGCAAACTCACTGCAAGACTTCCGAATTATTGTCGTCCACAACTCGAATTCGATGTAGGCAGCCGTTAGCCTTGCCACAATCCAGCTTGTCTCTCGAGAAGATAGACTCAAACTGGGCTATAAGGCCAACCAGTTTTTCTTTGCCAGCCGGCGAAACTGCACATGAATCAATGTCGATATCAGACAGCCCCAGATTTTGCAGCACTGCATGTAGGGGGCTACAACCACTTGTCACCTCCTGTGAGGGTGAAACATCTGGCAAAGTGGAAACATCAGTGACTAGACTCTGCTCATCATGGCACCAAGCTGAGCCAGTAGACCGTTGCATGTTCTGTTGCAAGTAGGAGCCAGTGGGGCTGAAGTTCTCCACTGCTGCACAGGGGGACACGTCAGCCAACTTCATGTTCCGTTTCAGTGTTATCGGCTTGTCAAAGGGGTTCAGCACTTTCACAGGGAGCCACCCATCACTGTTTAGATGCGCTACAGTTCTCCCAACCATAACTGACCTCGGTCCAGACCTTGACCCGGTGGGCTCTACAACGACAGCACTGCCCACTTCCCCATTATTCATTAGCTGCAGCCTGCCCCAAACAAGGTGTTCTGTCAAGGGCTCTAATGTTACAGCTCTCTTTAGCTTGACAGTTCCGATCTTATCACCAACATGCCCTGGGGCCACCACTCCTGACATTGAACTCAGCAGATTTTTATTAAGCTGTTCTTCTGCACTCAGAGTCTTGCTGCATTCCTCTCCTAAATGTCCCTCTTCCCTCAGGCGATTACCCAGATACCTCATTAGGTTACTGCCCAAAATGAGGTCCTCATTCTGCCCTGCAATCACCAACATTGGCACAACAACTTTACAGCCATATATCTCCACTGTAATGTCACACACACCTGATGGAACTGTCCTCGAACCACCACAGCCAATCAGGACGACATCCGTGGGTTGCAAGGTGGGGGTCTGCAGCACTGCATGATGTAATAGTTGGGGCATCATATTGGTGCTGAGGGTGCAGGCCATAGAGCCACTGTCAAGCATGGCTTTAACAGACACTTTGCCACCCAGGGTCACATTTTCATAGAACAGCTCATCATGCTGTTTTAGTCTGTGTGTGTTCTGAAGAATGGGTCTCCGGCCTAGCTGGCGCTCCTCACAAACAGTGTGTAATACAGATTCTAAATCATCAAAATCATCCTCTTTGGGGGCGATTTCAGGCCTAACACTTGCCCCCTCCACATGTAGGCCATCTAGTTTCCCAGCTGCTGGGTGGCTGATTCAGGCCCCCTCACTCTGACAGACACGGCCCTGGGGCATTGAGCCCGTGTGTGGTCGCCAGCATGGCAGATGAAACATAGCTGATGGGCTCTACAGTGGTGATACGTAGAGTGTTCAGTGTCACCACAAATCACGCAAGGCACAATTTTGTGTGTTTGGTTCCGGGGAACCCTTACATCATCCTTAGCAGGCAGCTTTGCTTGTCGAGGCTGTCCCTCCAGGACTTTCTCTAACAGGGCTATCACATGATCAAGACGATCAGTAGGTGGTTTTGCATGAAGGTCGGTAAGTGATGCTGAGGTAGAGGTTGGTGATGGTGTAATACACTTACTGTTGCCTGTCGCCTGCTGCACATTAGGACTCACCTCCTGTTGCTGAAAACTCAAGGCACTGACTGCACTAAACTGAGGGGTGCACTTCCGGTCCTTGCCATGCTCCAGCAATTTCTCGTGCACATCAGCAACCGTCCACTGCTGCAGGGGCTTGCACTTGAAAATAAGAGACAGTTCTGAGTCTGGACAGTGGCGGATAAACATAGCAGTCAGCTCAGCTTTCAGGAGCAAAGTGAAGGAGGAGATGAAAGCAGCACAGCAGGAGGTGAAACGCTGCCTGAGGGAAGCAAAGGACACCTACAGGAGGAAGGTGGAGCAGAAGTTGGAGAGGAACAATATGAGGGAGGTCTGGAATGGTGTGAAAACCATCACAGGCCACAACACCAAGAAAAGCACAGTGGGGGGGACTGTGGAGAAGGCAAACGAACTCAACAACTTCTTCAACAGGTTTGACCAGCCCACAACCCCCCCACCCTCACCCTCACCTTCACTACAGAGTCCTCTCCCCACTCTCCTACCTCCCTCGCTTCCCCCCCTTCCTGACACCATGACACCCCCCTCCTCCAATCCCTCTCTCAGCAGCAAGACATCTCCCCCCCTCCCCTCCTCCCAAACATCTCCCAGTGTCACAGTGGATCAGGTCAGGAGACAACTGAGGAAGCTTCGCCCCAGAAAGGCAGCAGGCCCAGACAAGGTGTGTCCTAGGATGCTAAAGGCGTGTGCTGCTGAACTTGGGGAGCCGCTACAACGAGTCTTCAACCTCAGTCTGCGACTGGGGAGAGTGCCCGCCCTATGGAAGACATCCTGCATCGTCCCGGTCCCCAAAAAGAACCGGCCCAATGAGCTGAATGACTTCCGACCGGTGGCACTGACGTCACATCTTATGAAGACTCTAGAGCGGCTCTTCCTCAACCTCCTCCGACCACAGGTACAACATGCCCAGGACCCACTACAGTTTGCATACAAGGCGGGTGTCGGAGTGGAGGATGCCATCCTGTACCTCCTACACAGAGCCCACTCACACCTGGATGGGGGAAAAGGCACGGTCAGGATCCTGTTTCTTGACTTTTCCAGTGCCTTTAATACCATCCGGCCCTGTATGCTTCAGGAAAAACTGAACAGGATGGAGGTGGACCCCTGCCTGGTCGCTTGGATCTCCGACTACCTCACCGACAGACCACAGTACGTCAGGCTGAAGGACATCACGTCTGACACTGTGGTCAGCAGCACAGGAGCACCACAGGGAACTGTGCTGTCCCCTCTTCTCTTCACCCTGTACACCTCTGACTTCTGCTACAACTCTGAATTATGCCATATTCAGAAGTTTGCAGATGACACGGCCATCATGGGGTGTATCTGGGATGATCAGGAAGAGGAGTACAGAAGTCTGGTGAGGAACTTTGTCGCATGGAGTCACACAAACCACCTGCAACTCAACACCTCAAAGACTAAGGAACTGGTTGTGGACTTCGGGAGGTCCAGAGAAGGTCCACTGCCGGTTCAGATAGAGGGGGAGGAGGTGGAGGTGGTCAACAAGTACAAGTACCTCGGGCTGTGGGTGGACAATAAACTGGACTGGTCATGCAACACAGAGCACCTGTATAAAAAAGCCCAAAGCCGACTGTACTTCCTCAGGAGGCTGAGGTCTTTTAACATCTGCAGGAAGCTCCTGAGGATGTTTTACCAGTCGGTGGTTGCTGGAGTACTTTTCTATGCTGTGGTGTGCTGGGGGAGCAGCACAGCAAAGAAGGACTCATCCAGGCTGGAGAAACTGATCAGGAAGGCTAGCTCTGTGGTCGGCATGAAGCTGGACACTCTGGTGACAGTGGCAGAGAAAAGGACACTAAAGAAACTGATGGACATTATGGACAATGCCAGGCATCCTCTGCACACGGCCATTAACAACCAGAAGAGTCTGTTCAGTGACAGGTTGCTTCTCCCCAAGACAAGAACTAACAGACTTAAAAACTCCTTTGTCCCACACGCCATCAGACTGTTTAACTCCTCTCTGGAGGGGAGAGGGAGGGGAAACAGGAGGACAAAGGAGGGGGGAACAACTAAGCTGTAGTGCCTCTTCACCTCACTGTGCAATACCTTGAATACTTTTGTAAATAGTCAACAGTGCAATAGACTCAATACTTGAAATGTGCAATTCACTTGTATTTTTATTTTTATTCCTATTTATTCTATTTATCCCCTTCGTATATTTTATTTATATTTGTCTCTGTATTTATATGTGTGTGTGTGTGTGTGTGTGTGTGTGTGTGTGTGTGTGTGTGTGTGTGTGTTGTGTGTGTTTATATATATAATATTCTGTAACTGTAACTTCTGTCGGTGCTGTGCTTTTTGGAAATCGAATTTCCCAGAGGAACCCACCCGAGGGATTAATAAAGTTCTATCTTATCTTATCTTATCTTATCTTATCTTATCTTATCTTATCTTATCTTATCTTATCTTATCTTATCTTATCTTATCTTATCTCCTCTTTTGTCAGATATGCAAAGGACTTATTTTGTCTCTTCAGACAGTCTTCTGTCACCTCCATGGCTCTGTTCAACCTGAGCCAGTAATCAAACGGTGTTTCACCTGAGTTGGGTAGTGTTGCATAAAAGTCAGCTAAAGGCATGCTTGAACAGGCAGTGTCACTGAAGTGCTGCTTTAAGATCTCAAAAATGGGCTCTGGGCCCCTCTCAAGACACACCGATGGCTTACTACGTATGCCCACCTTGACTATTTCTCGTGCCCTCCCCAGCAGTTTACTTAGCACATCATCAGCTTGTTCAGCAACTGGTACCCCTCTTCTCTTAAAAAAAGTCATCATCATTTCCTCCCATTCCTGAACACTGCATGTATCACAGCCATCCCCTCTAAAACACACAGGTTCTTTAACATCAGACTTTACAATCACATTCAATAGTGAGGGTTCAGATAACACATTATTGGCAGACCCAACAACACTGTTTCCCACTCCAGAGCCCAACCGAGATTCAAGACAAGAGGCAATGCTTTCCCCAATAGAAAACCCAATTTGCGTTGCAATCTCTGCATAAAGGTTCTCTTTTGTGGGACTGGTTTCTGATCTAGTATTTTGTAGATCATCACAGTTCCCAACAATAGGGTTTTCATTTAACTCAGCAAGGACAGGCTTAGGTGTGGAGGAAACTGGGGCTGTCAGCAACCTTGATCTGCCTCTGCCATATGAATGCAGAGGGGTAAAACCAACTGCCCCCCTTCCCCTGCCAAAACTGGGAAAATCTGCCATGGCTCAGCAATGTGTCCCTCCCTTTTTTTTTTTTTTTTAACTCTCCAAAAAAAAGAAAGCACAGAGCCCCGCCCCAATGTCTCTAAAGAACGCAGAAAATGGCGGGACTAAGAAAAGCCAATCTCCCGCGACTTTTCCACCTTCCAGGAAGTAGACGGCCCCCGTTGCGGTCGCAGGATAGCAGGAGCTGGGGTCACGGCACCAGTGTAACCGGTTTCTGCTTCATCCCGCTGCAACAGTTCGGCCCAAACAGACTCCTCGACTCTGCGTTGTGTAGTGTTTTTAAAAAGACAAGGAGTCTCTGATCGATCGTTGCCACTTTATTTCCTGAATGGAAACAACGGTGTATTATCAGTGCACAGGCTCGCCATACACCACTCCGCACAGCACACTACGGCAGAACATCTCATTAGCATTCCGCTTTAGCATACAGTTTCACACATTAATAAACAAATGAAAAGTACATAAAACTGGTGTTGGACATGTGTCCACTAAGCACTTATTACACTCGGTGCTCGTCAGCTAATCAAACATGTTTTATGTGTCTGTACTACTTAGCTATATTGTGCGCGGAACAATACAACTCACCTCTCGTATGGCTACGGCAGACTGGCAGCGATTACTGCAGCCAGCCTCACCTAACCAGCCACACCGAGAGGGGGGGCGCTGTTTCCCCATTACACTGATATTTGTGGCAAGTGGAATAATACCACATAAACACTGTTACATGTAATGTGTATGTGTTAGTCCCCATAGGGAAATAGCTCCTCTTACATTGGCACAGTCAAAACCTGTGTCCAGAGCGATGAGCATCCTGATAACTGCTGGTGTGTTGTTGCACTTTACTGCATAGAAAGGTTTGACCCGAGGCAACCTAGTGATCCACCTGTTGTGCTTTTCTAATATATCATCAAGATTTAACACATGGAATGGCTCATCTTTGCCCTGAAAAAAGAAACATTTTATTTCAAAGATGTCGAAAATCTCTGGTGTATTCACCACACCTGGGATGTGGTGTGCTGCTAGTCGACAAGATGAATTATGTCATTGTTAACATTTTAATTGATTCAGTAAATTATTGTGTATGTAATGTTATGCAGCCATCTGCCACCAGATGGCGCATTGTTGTCGAGAAATGCCATAAATCTGTTAATCTAGGCCTGATCTTTTTGTTAACACGATCAGAATGCGATATAAGTGGCGGAAATGGCAGATGGGTTCTGCCGTAGTGATACAGTTATTGATGCACAATGCAAGGGGCTGCACAATTAAGTGACATGATTCATTATTAAAGAATGTGATTAATAACTTTGTTTAATGAGTTTTTGAAATAAAACAGATCAAAAGTTTAACATTTTAGACCCTTTTAGATTCGTTAATTAGTCCAATTTTTTACTTTAGTCAAAATTAGAAATTAATCACCAGGAACATCCCTAGCGATAACCCTTGCCTTGCATGTGTTAATTGTTTAAGCACAAACAACCTTGATGTTTGAAGGCTTTCACTGACTTAAAATTATGCCTCTGAAGTATGGTAACAAAGTATTTGTACATCGTTAATTCTCATATCTTATCATAATCATCATTGCCTCGGTATGAGGAATAATAATCTCTGAAATATAAGGTTTCACAGAGGTCAGGGACATTGCTAAAACTATCAGAATGGGCTTAAGTTAGTGGTAAAAGAAGTGGAAAAACTTGATGCACAAATATTCTTGCATGATGCCTCTGACACTCACCTGTGAACCAAGCTCTTTCACCTTTGTGTCTATCACATCAGTGATGCTCCTTCCACTGTCCAGGATTTCAATGTCATCATTTTCAGGGGAAAAAACACGCACCATCGATTCATTTATGGTAGCTGCAGGTGTCAAGAGCAAAGGCACGTATAAACAAAAAGTGTTACACAATGTGAGATGTCGGAAAGTATGAGAAAGAGAGAAGGAGAGAAGGGAAAAGGTGATGCATTTGAGAAATAAGTATAAACGGAGCTGTTCAGGAAGGTTCCGTTTTTTCCTCTAGTTTCCTGCAAATGAGAAAACAGTGACTTTGGAAGACGGAATTTTCTCATTCACAGTCAAAAATTTCAGGGAGAAGTGGATTAACCACTGTGCAAGCACTGTGGACTTGTAATTTGGGGCATTTTCTGTAGTCATTTTTGCAGTGTTGGAGGACTTTGGAATAAAGCATTGCTGCCCGATTCGGACTTCATCAGGTGCAGCCGGGAGAGGACTGCACGACTGGCCAACGTGTACTTTCTTTTCCCTCTGTCATTCATCTCAGGACTGGTATCAGAAGTCAGTATTACCATACAGTTAAAAACATAAAACTCGTGTCATTTTTTTTTATTTGATTGCGTCTTTACTGGTCATAACATAGTCATATGTACTGTCTAGTCTTCTGCTGTGTTTAGTCAGCCTTGTCTTCATGTTTGTTTATCTCTTGTCTGCGTGTTTGGCGCCCCCTTTCTATCCCCCCTGCAGACCAATATTTGGGAATTTTGTCCCTGGGACAATTTCTACTTGGAGAAAATTCTCCTAGTTTCTCCAATAAACCTGCTACATAATGGATGACAGTATTTTCTGTTCTCCGACCTCCTTTCCTACCTTTAGGTGAAACATCTTAAAGAAACTCCAGTCACCTTCTTTCCAAGCTCTTTAGACTACCATGATCTGGATGACAGAGAATCTACACAGACAAACACCAATGTTCATGTCCACACATCAGATCATAAAGTTTTTGGCTTACCTTCCTTTGTAGTGTCCATGTTCTCCAGTGATGAGCAGTGTTTATCTTTGAAAATAATCTCTCATTGGCTTCTCCTATTCTTCTTACATCTTTCTCCATCAGGGAGTGTCACACTTTAACTTATATTTTCTTGCTCTGTGAAATGTGACTTTATAGTACCATATTATCCCAACAGAGTACTTATTGTTATTAAAGAACAACCACTATGATTACACATAGTGATAGTACATAAATATAGAAGTTAACTGAAGTCTGCAGGCCTACTTGTTGTTCCTAGAGTATTTAAAAGTAGAATGGGAGGCAGAGCCTTCAGTTTTCAGGCCCCTCTTCTGTGGAACCAGCTTCCAGTTTGGATTCGGAGACAGACACTATCTCTACTTTAAGATTAGGCTTAAAACTTTCCTTTTTGCTAAAGCATATAGTTAGGGCTGGACCAGGTGACCCTGAATCCTCCCTTAGTTATGCTGCAATAGAGTAGGCTGCCGGGGGATTCCCATGATGCATTGAGTTTTTCCTTTCCAGTCACCTTCTCTCACTCACTATGTGTTAACTAGACCTCTCTGCATTGAATCATATCTGTTATTAACCTCTGTCTCTCTTCCACAGCATGTCTTTATCCTGTCTTCCTTCTCTCACCCCAACCGGTCGCAGCAGATGGCCCCGCCCCTCCCTGAGCCTGGTTCTGCCGGAGGTTTCTTCCTGTTAAAAGGGAGTTTTTCCTTCCCACTGTCGCCAAAGTGCTTGCTCATAGGGGGTCATATGATTGTTGGGTTTTCTCTGTATCTATGTCTAAAGCGCCTTGAGGTGACGTTTTGTTGTGATTTGGCGCTATATAAATAAAATTGAATTGAATTGAATTACAATGCAATTGTTTCAGACAGTTGTTTCAGGTCTCTCTTATAAAAAAGACATTGAGTCTCAATGGGACTGTGTAAACAAACAAATGGGCAAAACATTAAATGGCAGTCAGTGATTCTATGTCACTAGCAAATAAATAACAAAATTCTCCAGAAATTGTATTTTCCATAAAATGGTTTCTTAACTGTAGCGTCCATGGTTTTTGGATTGAAGGAACAATTCAACAAATGCTAAATTGGGGCAGTGTAAGAGCTGGACAGCTTTGACGATTCACAGCTTTTAGAAGCAAAAATTTAGTGTTGTTTTTGAGTTTATTTCATTTTGGTTTTATACAGCTGAGAATTCTCTGACAATACAGAAAATACAGAAAGTTGAACTTAATTGAAATTAATTAAACTAACAAACAGAAACGTACTGAACATTAGTCAGTGGTCAGAGGGCCCGGTGGCGCCAGTGCAGCCTCGCCTCTGTCAGTGCGCCCCAGGGTGGCTGTGGCTACAATGTAGCTGCCATCACCAGTGTGTGAATGTGTGTGTGAATGGGTGGATGACTGGATATGTAAAGCGCTTTGGGGTCCTTAGGGACTAGAAAAGCGCTATACAAATACAGGCCATTTACCATTAGATTGTACACCACTGTTCACTCATCATATCATGATGACAGATAATAATAGTCATAATTTCATCAAATTACTACTGTTTTTCCACATTTTGCTTTCACCTTGCCGAGTTACTGCTCAGGTTTGGATCTTCCTGATGCAGTGAGGCAGAAGAAGAGAGTGAGAGACAGTCATATATTATAATAAGTAATGAATTTCAGGTATCTTTTCCACTTGGTTAACTTGCATAGACAAGGTTTCCTATTAACTTGACTTGAACTGTGAAATCAACAAATACGTTTCATCACATTCTGCTGTGTTTGGCAGGTTTCTCTGTGTCACATTCCCATGGAATTTTTCACCATAGAAAGAAGTTTTCTTCTCATGTAGAGTGCACCTAGGACGCTAATGCTCTTCTCAGTTTTTACAGAGTCAAAGTCAAAGTAATGTTTCCAAGCATTGGTCATGCTCTGTCCTGCTCTCCATGTTATCTGTTGTTAATCTACACACATCTGTTGCCAGTGTTGGGAAGGTTACTTTTAAAATGTATTCCACTACAGATTACAGAATACATGCCCCAAAATGTATTTTGTAACGTATTCCGTTACGTTACTCAATGAGAGTAACGTATTCTGAATACCTTTGGATTACTTAATATATTATTATGCTTTTTACAACTGCATGAATGTACTATTGCTGTGTGATTTGGGGCGATCGTGGCTCAAGAGTTGGGAGTTCGCCTTGTAATCGGAAGGTTGCCAGTTCGAGCCCCGGCTGGACAGTCTCGGTCGTTGTGTCCTTGGGCAAGACACTTCACCCGTTGCCTACTGGTGGTGGTCAGAGGGCCCGGTGGCGCCAGTGTCCGGCAGCCTCGCCTCTGTCAGTGCGCCCCAGGGTGGCTGTGGTACATGTAGCTGCCATCACCTGTGTGTGAATGTGTGTGTGAATGAGTGGATGACTGGATATGTAAAGCGCTTGGGGTCCTTAGGGACTAGTAAAGCGCTATATAAATACAGGCCATTTACCATTTATTACTATTACTGAAGGTCCGCAGCTCCGAACTGTAGTAAAGGGACCTCTGACTAATACGGCGGGGTCACTGTCGGCTCGTAGCCGAAAAAATAGCTTTACTTTGTTGTGTGGGTCAACTTTTCTTGCGAGAGACAGAGAGAGGCGTTGAAAGACTGCTCCAACGGAACTTTGTTTTGGAGGAAAACACGAACACGGTGTACAGTCGAGTCTTAATAGCTTACTTACAACTGGGCTCGTCAGGCACTCTTCTTGGCTGCAGTGGTTATTATTATATTTACATGCTTCCAGCTCCCGTTTTTGCTCGATGACACTCGTACTTTTCCACTCTCCTTTTTCTCCCTCCTCGCGCTCACAGACACATAACGGGTATGGCAGTCCATTCTCCCTGCAGCACGGACTACACTGCCCATGAGGCTACATTCTTTAGGGCTATGCCTGTAGCATTCTGCTAGCTTAGCACACAACAACAACAACAAAAAGGCGCTC